TGTTACTGTTGTTCAGGAATGAAAACAGGGAATGAGGAATAAAAGTAGCCAAAAAAGTTGAAAGAACGGACAATTGTCCTTTGAAGGAAGCGAAAGAAAATGTTTGAACCTTTGATCAATAGTTTGAGGCAAGGCTAGTGGGTGAAGAGCAGTAAAGAGTTTATGAAGATGAGGATGGCTGAAGGTGGGATTCAAGATGGGTAGATAAGAGTATTGGGATTGAATGAAAGCAATTGAGCAACCAACAGGTAAGACAAAAATAAATGTCACCAGTTTTCTGGTAATGAAAAGAAGCTAAGAAAAGGTCAATTGAAACTGACCTCCAATGGGTTGTCTGATTAGACTCGAGATGATGACCCAATGGATTGAAATTGGACCGTCAATGATAATCAATTTCTCATCAAAATTCGCTGACTGCTTTACTCAATTGGTGCCGATTTGAAACAATGGTCAAAGTTGGAGACAAAACTGTTGGATTGAGGTGAAAGTGAGAGAATCGAGTTTTTCATCTTCGACTGACAGTTGCAATGATGATGGATCACTTGAAATATGAGCAGTTTCAGAGGTGAGCCAGGAATGAATTTGCAAAGAAAGGTCTAAATAACCAGAGAAACAAGTTTGTTGGCCTGAATTCGTTTCAAACAAAAAGGAAAAGAAAAAGAAATTCATCATCAATATTCGCCTTTACAACTCAAAGGCTTTTAGATGCAACTTGGATCGATTTCAACTGTTTTAAATGAACAATCAAATGATGCACAACTGTTGTCTTAAACTGTGAACATTACAAGTGAGCCTCTTACCGAGGCTGAATATAAAAAGAAATGGAAATGGTGAAAAGATAATCAATTTTTATTATAAGAGGCACAAAATTATCATAATTTACGTTTCCTCGACTTTAAATGTTAAATTATCTGTCATGAGATTTTCAAATTAATGCAAAAAGTGAATAAACTTTATTTGGCTTCTCAATATTTCATGTCATTTTTGTGATTTCAATTCTCTTTTTGATTCTCACTGATTATGCACATTGTTTTATCATTATTTATTACTCGATTGTCATCAAGCCTGGCTCATCATCAACTTGTTGTTCAAACTTTGCCGTCTTTTCAATGTTAATCAGATTCTAAATGTTGTTATTCTTGTTGAAATTGTTGGAAGAAAAATGATTGAATCAAGGTTCGAAGTGATGATAGTTTTGAGTGAAATGAGGTTAAAAAAGGGAAGAAGAATGAATTAGAATTTGATGATGAAAATGATGAGAAGGAGATGGTTAAAGATGATTGTCAGGATAGAATTGAATTACCTTCATGAAAGGGTATGAATTGATTCTATTGGTGTAAAGACTTTTCTCTTCATCATTTGATTGACATTTTCCTTTAGCGACAAAACTCAGTCACAGTGATGACTGGCAAAGAAAATGGATGCGAAAAGAGAAGAGAAAAGAAAGAGGAAGGAAGGTGCAACAGGGAAATGGAAAGAATAGAAAAAGGAATCAGAATTAGCAGTTGAAATGATAACAAGTGAAGTTAAGAAAAGAAAGTTAAAGTTTCCAAAGCGAATCGCTCGATTCCAATTTGAATTTGTTGAGAAAAGGCAAAGAGAAGAGTTGACATTCATTTAAATGATGATCGCTTGTTTAATGTAAATGTTTCAAGTAGAGACAAAGTTTGCCAAAAATGAATCCACTTGCGATTGTCTAAGTCGAATCGCTTTTTATTAGAAAATTTTGCTTCGATTTTAAGCATCTCAACTTGAATGCGATCAATTTATATCGACAGATTTTATCGATTTCTTTTAGCCAACATTCAATCGATACATTTCATGAGTATTAGAAAAACAAAGGAAAAGTTGAAAAGAAAATGAAAAGTATTGAAAAATGGATAAACAGAAAGTGGAATAAAATATTTGAAATCGAGTGAAAAAACTTCTCATCTTTTGATAGAAGTATTGAGTCGATCTAAAGTTGAACCTTGAAACTCACTGTTTCACATTCAATTTGTCATCGAAGGAAATTTCGGTGAAAAAATGTTGATCTCTTTGGATTTGAACAGTTTTCGGTCTGTAAAATGGCAACAAAATTGTTACAAAATGTCTTTAGACTTTACTTCATTCAATTTGGATAAGAAAAGGGCTGTTGATCGGTTGTTCGAAGTGCGAAGAGAGAGAATGGATCAAAAATAATATCATATTATTGGCAACAAGTTACCTTGTTGTGTGAATGAAAAGAGCGAAGAGATAAAAAAAAGTTCACTCTTTCGATTTTCTCTCTTTTTTTACTCTCTTCTACTTTCACTTTAATCCCTTTAAACGACCCAATAGACCTTTTCATGATATTTATACTCAATGTATACACTCAATGCAAATACCCTTCAAACTGTCACCATCAATCCAATAAATCTCATGAGAACTGCTTGTCACCCAAATAACATTAATATATACAACTTGAACTTTACCTGCAAGTTTATGCTAACAAAAACTGTTGCAAACAGAAGAAGACAAAAGCGCAACTTTAAAGTTTATCATATTCGAAGGGAAGAAAATGAATCGAAATGTTCTTTCCTTTTAGCATTTTCCGTTTTACTTAGTTTCTCAAGTAAAAAGTGTTAACAGGAAAACGACGAAAAATGGCTTTACTAATGTTCACCAATGTTCATCATTCAATATCAAAGTGCAAGTCTTTATTGGTGCAACATAAAAGTCAATGGAAATTGATAGCATTTTTGGCTACATTTCCATTTCACTGTTTCCCCTGTTGATCAGAACTTGTGATGATTCCAGGCTCAACTAGTTTCCACTTGTTGTTAATGTTCATTCTGGGAGTTTTAGCATATTATCTTTTGGAAAATAATTTTACTCTCAATAAAAGGTAAAGAGACGGAAATAAAGATTCTTAAAGAGTCGACCAAAAAAAAGTTTACTCGAATCGATACAAATCTCTAAACTCATTTTACTCTTTATGATTACCAATAGTTTGGGTCACAAAATGAAACCAGATAAAAGGTGTAAGAGAAAAGGATATAAATTTCGAATCCAATGAAACAATTGAAATTTTTTCTTCTTCTTCCATCATTCCTCTTCTTCTTTCTTTTACCTTTTTCACCATTTTGCTTCTTCGTAACAAAATGATAACCAATTGAAATGGTCTTTCAAAAAGCCATTCAACTGTAAGTTAAGAGGCTCACTTTTGAGATGATAAAACAGGAAGAGACGGAAGAAGGAAAAAGAAGAAGACGATAAAGTAACAAAAAAAGAAAGAAGAAGAAGAAGAAATAAACAGCAGAATTACAAGATTGATGAAACGATTTTTTGCGTGTTTACCTTTTCTCTTTACCTTTAGTTTTACCTTTTCTCTCTTCTCTCTTCTTCCATGCCTTTACCAGGTTTCACCAGCTTACAATTTATAACATATCTAATATCTTTCTGATTATTTGTGTTGCTTCTGTTGATATTAATAACGTTAATAAGTTGATTTCTTTTCACTTTACCTTTTCTCCATTTTAGTGTCAATCTTTACTGTTGCCGGTAACAAAATTTCATCTTTCACTTTATTACATTATTAATACATTTCCTAATGAAACAAAGGCCGGGCAACAATTTACTGTTGATTTAGCTGTAAACATCAACTTGTTTAACAAACGGATTTATATTACAATAAAGTGCATCAAGAGACGAAAGTAAATGCTAATAACAATGATAAATATAAACTTGTTCAATTTAAAGGCAATTTTAATAACGATGAAAAAAGGATGAAATAAAGGAAACCAGATAAGTCCAAATGAGGATTAAAAATTGGCTTTGTATTGAGCAACATGCAAGATTCATTGGGAAAGATTATATTGAAAGATTTTAAATTTTCTTCTTGAAATTGTTTACTTTGAGAGAGGAAAAGAAAAATTCATTTTCTTCTTTGGATCCATCAAAGTATTGAATATCATAATTATCATTGAATGCCTATCAAAAGCTTATTCAACTCTTCACCTCCCAGTCTGATAATGTTCACTCCCTGTTGCCAGTCGTCTTTGCTCATTCTCTTTCGGTCACTTTTTTCCATTATTAGCATCATTATTTTGTTTGCCTTGTTATTCACCATTTTTGTGTTTATACACTTTCTTTATCAAAGGCTACTTTTGTGTCGCGTAAATCCACTGGGTTAACAAATTACACTTAACTTTGGACAAACAAATTGATCCAAAAACTGGACTCTCTACTTTAACTGTTTATCCTTTAACAGTTTAATATTGGCCAACATTCAACAGTCAATAATACAACTCATATCAAGTTTCACATCCAAACACTTTCATCTTTCCCTCCCAGTCAATATAAATATCATATTCACAGTTATTGTTGGTAAAAGGGCAAAAAAAGTTTTTCCTTTTTTGTCCACTATTCTCTGGCTTTATCAACTTTGCGGTTTCATATTTTCACATGTTAACTTTATACCTTTTAGTTACTTGGTTAGGGTTGAAATTGAATGGTTAAAGGTTGTTGATGGTAAAATTGAAATTGTATGATAACGAATTCGTATGTTTAGAATTGGTTTATTTTCATCGAAAATTTCTTTTCTTTACATTGGATGGAAATGGCATTTACTCATCAGCATAGGTAATCAAAAGAGGAAAGGGAAGATGAATAGAGGATGAAAAAGAAAATGAGAAAAGATTTGAGTTTCGAATCAATTCTTTGATCAACTCTCTAATTGTTATTCACAATTGAGCTTCGATTTTACTTTAACCATTTCCCTGTTGAATCTCTTTTCTTTCTTCTTCTTTTTTCTTCTCTTTACTTCTTTTATCCATCATCACCATCATCTTCTTGTTCACTTGAACATTCTTTTGTTGCTTCTCATCCACTTGCAATAACCTTCGCCTCTCAGTTCAACTCTTTCCATCTCAAGTAAACCTCTTCGTTTAGTTTTTACAAAACATTTTATTTCCTTTTTTTTGTTTCATTCTTTTACCAATTCAAATTGAGCATCTTAATCATTACAGAAAGAGTGTTACCTTGACTTGGAGGTGTTGGAGGTCCGATGGCTGGGAGTAGGTTTGGTGAAAAGAAAGAAGAGTGATGATGATGTCGGTGGTGGTTGTGGTGGTGGTGGTGATGATCACAATGCTTTGCTTTTTTAACCAAAAACGATCTGGGCATTTCACTTTTGCTTTTCCTTCTTCCCTATCCTTCAATTGATAATTGGGTAATTTGATGATCCAAATGAACAATTTGAACGGTGATATTGATTATTATTGTGTTGGCTAACGATGATAATGGTAATCACTGGAATGCGACACTTTTTCAGGCATTTCACTGGTTATTTGAGCAAGAGAGTTGAAAAAGTGGAAATTGATTGATTGATAGAAAACATTGCCTGTGCTTGTGATTGTTTCCCGCATAAAAATAGAAAAAAGAATCACATGGTTAACAACAACAACAGAAAAGTTTATATTCCTTCGAGTTTATGCTTCGGAAAAAAGAGCTTTAGAATGGAAGTAGAGAGTAAAAGAAAGGAGAGCGAAAAGAGAGACTGGGAAGGAGTCTTGGAGTGAGGCTTGGAGTAAGACTCTGTCTCAGAGACTGTCTGTGAGATTTGGATTGTTTTGGCTGTTGCTTTATCAGTTTCGAAATGAACTCGAATGGATTGAAAATGCTTACAAAGCATGTCGCCATCTAGCATTTCAGATTGGAATGTAATAACCTGTAAGGATAAATTATGGGACTTTATGTTAATGCATTTGCAAACTTGACTTAACTTGCGTTGCTGTGGTTTTGATTGTTTACTTTTTTTACCGATCACTTGCATCTGATAAACACCTGGTTCTGTTTTATTACCTCAACTATCTTGTTCGACATTAATTTTATTTCCTTGAATTTGTTCCTTTGAAGTTCTCAATCAAATCCTATTTGAACACGATGGTTAATGTTATGAAAGGCATTCTTATTGAATGCGATGCTCAAATGAAACAATTTCTTCTGCATTTGGATGAAACGAATGCTCTTGGTACGAAGTTTATCATCCAAGATCTTGATGCAACTCATCTTTTTGTTTCCCCGGAGATCATTGAAACCCTGAAAAATAAAATTGACGATCTTATGGACCAGATAAATTATGTAGAAATGTAAAATTTGAGCCTAATTTTTTATCAGAGATCCTACATCATTTTTGTTTTTTGTAATTTTCGAGTTAAACAGCAACAGAATGAAATGATTTTGAAAATTATATAAAATGGTTTCCAAATGATTGAGAAAATGGAACAACCTAACCAAACACAGGCCAAAGTCATTAATTGGAAAACAAAATCAAAATAATTATATTGAGGTCGATGTTCATAGACAACATCAGGCCCCGAACGGTAACAAAAGCTTTACTCAGTTTACCAAGCACATTGACGATATCAGGTACAGATTCACTCAAAGATCCATGATAAGTTCCAGCTTCCTGTAAATAAAGAAAAGAAACTTGAGTAAATCGGATAAAAAATAAATTCTGAAAAGATTAAACTCACCTGAAGACCATAAGATTGAAATTGACCGTTTGGAACCATTGGCCTTGGAATATAACCGGCTCCGCCGTTATTATAATTGATTGGTCTTGATGAGGTTCTATGTCGTTGAGTGTTGATGTAATGAGTTAAAACCATTGTCGTTGATTGACTATCAGTCATTTCAGTGACAAAATTATAAAGTTCATCTTCGCAGTTTGGTTTGCATCGAGGTAGAGTGGCACAGAATTCAGCTCGATGTATTTGTAATGTTTGACATTTTGCATTGGTACAAAAAGTGTCATTTGATCGTAACAGGTCACGTCTAACATTGATATCAGATGGTAAACAGTTGCAAGTTTGCCGGTACAAGGTGAGTAAACATTGATCAACACAATCGTATTTAGATTGAGGAGGTTTCAAGTGAGGTGAGACAATGCCCATGAAGTTTCTTTCATCAACTAGTTTACCAGTGTTAACCTGTTCATTGTTGCCATTCATCGTTTGTTTATATTGATCACATCCAGTCCTGAACGGTGGAGGCATCCGTTTCTCAATTATCTTGTCAAATGTGATCAAATAATTGTAACCAGGTTTTAATTTGGATATCTTTTGACTACTCAAGGGTAGCTCATTGGACTGGTGAATAGATATTGAAGCATCCAAATCATCTGTGAAAGCTTCCATGTTTGGTTTACGTCCAAATTCAATTTCAAGAGTCATCAGGTCACCATTTTTGGTCGTCAAAAATCCATTTCCACCACCTTCATCACTGAACTTGGACCAGCGAACCTTTAAATCACGTGAAGATCGAATTGGTTTACCCAATTTACTAAAGAAAGTGTAACATCTTTTACCCAAACCAAAGTTGATACTTTCCAGTGTTGGGACAATCTCATGGCAAGGAATTGGAGACACTTCAAACGTACCAGTTACTTGGTTAATGGTTGGTATCATCAAATTACACTTAATATCCTCCTCATGTTTTACTATTACAATTGGGTACAACATTCTTTAAATTACCCGGTGGTGAACTTAAAGCCGGAGAAGATGAGGTTGAAGGTCTTAAGCGTTTACTTACTGAAACATTGGGTCGCCAAGATGGTATTGCTAATGAATGGACAATTGAAGATACAATTGGTAATTGGTGGAGACCCAATTTTGAGCCACCTCAATATCCTTATGTTCCTCCTCACATAACTAAACCAAAAGAGCACAAGAAACTATTTCTTGTACAACTACCGGAGAAAGCTTTATTTGCTGTTCCCAAGAATTATAAATTGGTTGCTGCACCGCTATTTGAATTGTATGACAATGCTCAAGGATATGGACCCATCATCTCTAGCTTACCTCAAGCCCTGAGTTGCTTCAATTTTATTTACTTGTGAATTAAATATACTTTATTATTGAACTAGATCAGGATCTAATTATCAATTCACATCTCTACATCCTTATTTTTCATATTTTTCAAGACCTCTAAAATGATATTCATTTCAATTTGGAGACACTTCGAATGTACCAGTTACTTGGTTAATTGTTGGTATCATCAAATTACACTTAATATCCTCCTCTTTGGCCTTATCAGCATTGAAATTGCGCCTAAACACCTCATTGGCTGCTTCAACAGCGCCTGGTTTGAGATCACTCTTAAAACAAAGAGTAACTGAGGGTAAATCAAATATTTCAGCAAGGGTAAAATTGTTGGTTATAGTCGGAAAGCTTGAGTAAACCTCAACTATTGATGTTCGATATGAGTATTTTTCATTTATTGTTATTATGAATGGCTGAAAATTAAAGAAATGAAAACAAAGCTTAAAACACGAATTGTCCTTGTTTGTGATAAGCCGAGCTTGTAAAAGATTGAATAAGATTTAATAATATTTAGTCCATGTTAGTTTATGTTAGTTTGTTTCCAGTTCAGAGTTGGGTTTTAGTGTGATGTTGATTGTTTGTGGACACAAAAAAAATTGAAAATTGATCTAAATTTGCTTCAATTCAATTAAACGATAAACCAAAGAGTAAAAAAAACTATCTCTTTGCAATAAATGTTAACAACTTGAAGCTGCCAGTACGAAGGCAACTCCATCTTTTAGGAGGCAAATGAACAATAAATTATGTGATCCCTAATCAATTCATTTGTAAACAATCAAAAGAGCCTTGAATTCATATGAATTGTTGTTCAAATGTGAGTAAATTCAAAGATTTATTACTTTTTTAAGCAATTGGCATCACAACAGAATGTATTCAAGCTCATCGGTGTTGCAAAATCAGAATTTTCCTTATTTGATTCTGTACTTTAGTCCACTTTGAATAAGTATACATTCCTAGAGTAGTAGTAAATATACACAGGATAACTCCTCTACACAATCTAACTCTTAATTATCAGACCTTGGTGCTAATTAATATTGATCTTAGATAAATATTGCAATTAACCTTGCAATCAATCGACAATAAAATGACCCTTAGAATAATTGGACTATTGTAAAGTTAATTATGATGAGTAAATTCTGAAAAAATAACGATAATTATTTATGCAACGAAAGTCAGGAAATAAACGCTAGCAGAAAGAAGTGAGAAACAATAAGAATAACCTTCATTTTATCAGACAGTAACCAGACGTAAATGATTGCTTTTTCCTTAATCGCGTTGTGATAGTCCTTGAGATAACGGTGCGGAAAAACGCTTATGTCTGCTCTTTACACTGATTATGATTTAAATAATTATATTTAATAACTCAATTAAGCTCTAAAATTGAAACATTGATTAAATGAAGCTTGTGATGATTAAAATTGAAACTTTGTATCAAAAACAAAGTGTCCTTGTGTGGAACATATAAAAACAGATTAGGCTTGCGTTTCTTTGCATTCTTATCAAAGTTGATTTTGCTAACGTTTGTTCTAAGTAATAGTACTTTTTATTATAATTGTTCTTCTAAATAGTTTTGGTTTTGTATTTGTTTTGTGTTTATTAAGTCATTATTCGAAATAGTTTTGATTTGTATTTTGACTTGTGGGTACTAAGTTTGTACTGCGAATATCTGACTTACATCTACAACTTTCCTCTCAAATAAGTCTATCGGCTTTACTGCTACCATCCAGCTTACATTTCTGAGCTTTTGAATAAGTCAATCGGCGGCACTGCTACAATCCAGCTTACATTTGATCTTTTCGGAGCCTTTCATCGTAAACACATAGCAAAACGTAAGTCTAGTTCTTGTGTTTTCCATTTTGATCTGCAATTTACTTGTACTTATTGACTGTACTTCTGATTCAATATTGAATTAATACGATACTTTGTTAACTTGTTCTGATCAAATTTTTCTGTAAATTTATCATTTGAATTGAAATTTTTTTTTGATTGTCTGCTTTTAAGCTACATTATGATTGACAATTGAAACTTTTTTTGAGTTTCTTAATTATAATTGTAAATCGAATTGTGTTTTTTGGTCGACTTAGCTTTTGAGTGAATTATGCTTGAGAATTGAAACTTTTTTGACTTAAGACACTTTTATAGTGATTTTTGATTGTGAATTTTGTATTTTTCGATTGAACTGACTTTGTTAGTTGATAATCATTGTGAATTGAAACTTTTTTCACTTAAGTCACTTTTATAGTGATTTTTGATTGTGAATTGAAACTTTTTTGACTTAAGTCACTTTGATAGTGATTTTTGATTGTGAATTGAGACTTTTTTGGTTGTCTTTGCTTTTCAGTTGAATTATGATTGTGAATTGAAACTTTTTTCACTTAAGTCACTTTGATAGTAATTTTTGATTGTGGATTGAGACTTTTTTGGTTATCTTTGCTTTTCAGTTGAATTATGATTGTGAATTGAAACTTTTTTGACTTAAGTCACTGCGATAGTGATTTTTGATTGTGAATTGAGACTTTTTGGTTGTCTTTGCTTTTCAGTTGAATTATGATTGTGAATTGAAACTTTTTTGACTTAAGTCACTTTGATAGTGATTTTTGATTGTGGATTGAGACTTTTTTGGTTGTCTTTGCTTTTCAGTTGAATTATGATTGTGAATTGAAACTTTTTTCACTTAAGTCACTTTGATAGTGATTTTTGATTGTGAATTGAGACTTTTTTGGTTGTCTTTGCTTTTCAGTTGAATTAGATTGTGAATTGAAGCTTTTTTAATTGAACTCACTTTACTAGTGAATTATGATTGTGAATTGAAGCTTTTTTAATTGAACTCACTTTACTAGTGAATTATGATTGTGAATTGAAACTTTTCGGTTGTCTTTGCTTTCAGTTGAATTATGATTGGGAATTGAAACTTTTTGCTTGCTTTTGCTTCAAATATGTTTTTTTTGTTCTCTTTGAGTTTAGCATCTGAATTAATTTTCAATTCTTATTGCTGACTATTTCCAGATAGGTTTACAATGTATCGAGTTTCTCCTGGGAAGAATCCAACATCTTTATTGTTTGTTAGAAAAAAAGATGCAGCCACGCAAGTTCATGCTAATGCATTGACTGATACGAACGAAACAAATCAAATTTTGAATCTTGCTGATTTCATCGTTCCAATCCTTGATTTTTTCAACATTTTGAAACTTACCCCGCCTCATTTAATTCATTCTATGCTGGAAGCAATAACCAATGTTGATTTTGAAGCTTCTCACTTGCAAATTTCACGACGAAATCTTTCACGACTTTTATTATCTGTTGACCAAGAGATTCGTAGAGGAATTTTAGATTATACTCAATAGATAATTACTTCATTGATAAAACTCTAACAATTTGTCTAATTTCTTTATTTTAGTTCCGACAATGAAAATAATAATTGAAAGCTTATCGAAACCCACTAAAAATATTGGTTTACGTGCTCCAAATAAAAATGATTATTTCAAGAAACACGGAATCGTCCCAATAACAAATTACCCAAAAATTCCGAAAGATTTACTATGTCCAACTGAGAATACTGGTAATCCCTGTTTGGCTTCTAAATATGTTAAATACTTGAAAAAAGTTCATAAAAAACTCGAATATAAAACTCTTCATTGCAAATCATGTTCAAACAAAAAACAAATCAGGTTAATAGATAAAAGAAAAATTGTCAACAATTTCTCTTCGAAATTCACAAATTCAAGTTTATGTATTCTTGCAACACAAAACAATTGCCCGAGAGTTGACCAGGCAATGAATTGGTTAGTTAATTGTAAATATAAGAAACATTTTATTTGCAAGTGTAAGAATCATTGTAATATCTTGAAAAAGATCAAAAACGATATTGAAATGAAAAGAAATGTAATATTTGAAATTTTACGTTAATAAAATTTTCTTTATTACTTTTTTTAGAATATGCTTTCACCAATTATCGAGCATTGGACTTGCCCAAAAGCTGTTGGCTCACTGCATTTGTATCTGAAAATGAAACATGCAGACCATAGAATTACTTCATTCGAAACAACTGATTTTCCAAAAGCAAAAGTTGATAAAATAATCTCAAAGGGGTTTTTCTGCAAAGAGGATAAAACGAATGCTTGTTGTTTTGCTTGTGGGTTGGAAATTCCACTATCTTTACTTGAAACAGACTTGGATGAACTTCATAAACAGTTTAGTCCAGAGTGTTCGTTTATCAACGGTAGAGACAGAGGTTTTGCCTTTTGTTTGGATGGAAATAAAAAAGTTTTTTATTACTCTTTGCCTAAAGATCACTTGGAAAATAATTTTGCAGCGCCTGTTACTTTACCAGTATTTAAAATCAAGAAAAATGATGATATTTTCGAAAAAGAAATAACAGACGAAATTTGGGTGAATCCAGAGAAGGTTTTTCAACTTTATATGATACGCACCAACCGCTTAGATTCTTTCAATGGAACATCAATCGCACCAAGGAGCAAAAATCTACTTGTTGAAAGTGGTTTCTTTTAGACCGGGCATGGAAAAACCGTTCAATGTGCTTTCTGTCGGCTCGGTACTGAAGGAACTATGCCATTTTCACCAAAGTATTTGCATGAAATTCTTTCACCACACTGTCCATATATAAGAAAAGATGCATATGATATCGAAAAGAGCTTTTGTTGTGTTTGTTTAGTCAACAAACTTGACATTCTATATTTGCCTTGCCGACATCTTGCTGTTTGTACTCATTGTGATAAGCATTTATACTTGAAAAAGACAAAAGGATGTCCAATATGCCGTACAAACATTGAAAAACGAATTTATGTTATTTCACCTTAAGTATGTTTTGATTGTTTTTGAATATTTTTTTTCTTTTTATTTGTTTTTGTTTTGTTTTTTGTTTTCATTGTACATTTATCTGATCACTTCTTTTCTCTTTTTTTCTTTTTTTTTCTATTTTATTAGAATGGCACGATTTTCAGCACGGAAAACATTCCCAAGAAAATGTTTGCACAAAAAGCAACCGCTGCATAAAAAAATCCTACACTTACTAACAATGGTAAGGGAGAATAAATATATCTATGGAGAATCGTTGAAGGAAATGAAAAAGATCTTGAATAACGTTTTGGATTCATCTTTGTTGAAAACGGAATGTCGCCGTGAGTGCTGCAACGTTGTTGATACACTGGTGGAGATGGAAGCTGATGATTTCTTCGTGACCAAGGATCATTTGCAGTTGCAGGATGATCTTCTTTCCTTATTTCTTTGTATTGTTGATAATTGATAATAATCATTTTAATCAATGTTTCTTATGTGTTGTTATCTTTTTCCAGTTTATAATGTATTTGTTATATTTTTATGTTTTTTGTTATCATGCTTTGTTTTTCATATTTTTATTTGTTCAATGATATTATGTTTTCATTGTTATTTTTCTTGTATCTTTTTTATCTCTTTCTTTTCATTTTCTTTATCTTTTCGTTATCTTTTTCATTTCGTTTTTAAATAAATGTTGTTTGTTTGTAAATTTTGAGTCATTTTTATCGCGTATTTAACGTATATAAGAAATGTGCTTTTGAAAAAAGTTGCAGTCAATCTTGCAACATCTCAAACTCAACATGGAAATCTTGGTTGATGTATTTAGATGGAAACCAGCAAACAAAGATATCTTGTTATACTTGGATAGTGAGAAGCTACGTGTTTTGAAACCTTGTTTCACAAAAAGACTTTTCAATTGTTTTCCCAACACTTCTTTTACTAAAAGTTTGAAAGGATCTTTGATTGGTCCTGTTAGAGACAGGAAAATAATTTATTTATCCTGAAAGGTAAGTTTCTTGCTTTTTGGAATTCCAAGCTGACTAATTTCTTTTAAACAGAACGAGTTGATCCGTATTATTGTGACGTTATCCTTCACTTTTTCTGGACTGGTTGCATTTCTCATCAAAAATTATCAATGGGCGAGAAAATTGAACTGGCTTATGCGTTGGATTTCTTTGGTATTAGGTTGAATGAATATTCATCAAAGTATGACTCAATTTATCAACTTAGAAAAGAAATCGTAATGCATTATAAAGAAATTTCGCATGATCCTACAAAAATGGATTTGATAACGTATTTGATACCAGATCTACAGCATGAATTGAAGGCTGACTCTTAGCGTAAGTATGTGCTAATGTATCATTGTTTTCGCTTGATAACATGTTAACTTGTTGAAAAATTCCCACAATTCTTGTGATAATTACACATTCATATCAAATTTGCTGAGTGTGAAAGGAGCTCAAGTATAATTCATGTGACAAAAAGAAGGCCAACAGGAGATAAGCATTTAAATTTAGAGATAATTTGTGTGAGCTCAACCTTGAGATTTTGCATATAAAAGTTGGGTGGATTTTTATTTAACTTCACAAAATGTCTCTATTCTTCAGTCGATGTTACTCAAGTGCTTCACCACTCGTGAAAGCTACGTCTGGATCAGTTGGTTTTGATATTAAGTCCTTTGAACATTTGATTTTACCTGTTGGAAAGACAGTAATTGTGAAAACAGGAATTAAAGTAAAACCCCCTGAAGGAACTTACGTTAGAATTGCTTCACGTTCTGGCCTTGCATCTCAAGGTATTATTGTCCATGGAGGCGTAATAGATCCTGACTACACTGGCGAAATCAAAATTATCCTTCACAATTGTTCGGATAGACATTTCATCATTAATAAAGATATGAAAATTGCGCAGTTGATTGTTGAAAAGGCGGAATTTCCCGAACTAATCGAGGTGGAACACATAGTTGATTGTAGTGAGCGTGGAGAGAAGGGATTTGGATCGTCTGGACTTTAGGTATAAAAAGAGAACCCTTTCAAACTTTTCTTCATTCAGTTTTTACTTTTCGACTTGTGCTCAACATGAACTCAAACAGTGAACAAGCAAACTCACCAAACAAATCTTTTCATCGTAAAAAGTTTAACGAAGAGTTTGAACAACTTTTATCCGTTGAAATCTCTCCTGGACTATGGATTGCTGTGCAAAAACCTAAAAGAAACGGTGAGATTTTCTTTGTGGACATTCGCCGTAAAAAAGAAGGGATGTGGCAGGGAAATAAAATCTTTATACCCACGAAAGCTGGACTATTTTTGAAATTCAAAGAATACGAAGTGCTTAAGCAAAAGATGGAGACGGCTGTCAATGGTATGGTAAATCACTTTGAATTCAGTCCTTGTATTGGAAGAAAGGTTTCAGGTCATGCTAAATTGGATGGCTCCGTAGAGGTTCAGCTCAAAACAGATTACAAAGAAACGAAAATTTGCTTGTCTCGAAATGAAGCTGAAAAACTGATTTCAAACTCTGTCTCTGATGGTATTGCTGCTGCAATGGTTCATATGATTTATGAATAATTATCTTGCTGCTTTTTACTCTTTATTCACATTTGATTTTTTTTTATTACTTTGTTTACTCGAACACTAAAATGTAATCACATTATTATCACATCTTTTTCTACTATTTTATCTTTTATACTCAAATTTTTCTTGTAACCTTTTTTGTTTTACTTTCAAAAAAAATAAAAAGAGAGCGCTCACAAAAATGTTGGTGAATTTTTATTTAAAGCGAATATTTCTGAAATGAAATTTCACTTGTAAAAATGTTTTCTTGTGAATCATGTGGTGAAAAGTTTATGAAACACAAGTCTTTACTTCTACACAAAACCAAATGTAAAATTATCAATTGTGAAAAATGTAAACGCAAATTGAATCGGTTAGATTTTTTGAACCATCTCATACAATGTAAAAACAGAAAAACAACAGATTTAGGTGATTTTGGTACATTCAAGCTGCACAAAAAGGCTTACAAAAACACGCTTGCAGTTTACGTGAAATCAGACAATTGGACTTCAATTGAAAACCTTTTATCAACCGAAAATGGAAACATTGAAACTCTGCTGAAATACATACTTGAGAAGCTGGGCTCAGTTAAAGTGCAAGCATGCGTACTACTCAAATTCATCAAACAAAAAACTGATGGTGAAATGGATTCTACAGAAATATACAAAGTTTCGGAAATGCATAGATTAACGAGTATGCATAATTTTGATGACTTGATGAAGGATTGGATTGAAAAACTTGAACTTTCAATTGATCAATTCACGCAAAGAGGAAGTGGATGGGTACTCGATCAAGTAAAAGTTCTAGAAATACGAATCGGAAAGTTGAAGGAACATAGCGGAGGCTGCAGCACAACTCGACTACCACCCGAGTTACTTCGTAAGAAAAGTATATTATCTCCAAAATGCAAAAATTTCTGTTTCAAATGGGCTGTTCTCATGGGTCTTCATCCACAGAGAAGAAATAAAGAAAAATTGTATCAATACAAAAATTATGAAAATTTATATGATTTTCGTGATGTAAGTGCAAAGACTGGTTTATCTGAGATAAAACGATTCAAGAGGCGAAACAACATTTCAATCAATCTCTATACACTGTCGCTTGATAAAAAAAGGAAAATTGTCCCTTTGCTTGTGCAATACCCACGCAAAGAGAAACACGTCAATCTTTTTCTTTACAATGATCACTTCTATTGCATTACAAACTTCAATGCATTCATCAAATCTAAGGCTTCATGGGAAAGATTTTTTTGTTACAACTGCTTATGCGGTTTCAGGCAGCAAGGAACCTTAACGAAACATGAAGTTCCTTGTTACAACAAATCATCTCAAACAGTTATTTTACCTGGAAAACAGAATATTCCAACTAAATGTAAATTCGATAAAATAGAAAAAACAATAAGATTTCCGTATGTCGTTTACGCAGATTTTGAAGCTTTGTTGGTAAAATCTGATGTAGCTCTCACACGTAACACCTTTGAGTATCAAAAACATGAGGCATGCTCATTTGGTTTGGTTGCTGTCGATTGGAATGATTCAATCATTTACAAAAAATTTTACAGAGGTCCTGATGCATCAGAAAAATTCATTGAAACGTTGTTGGAGCTGCGAGAATTCCTTCAAACACATTTGGATTCTAACAAAAAACCAGTTTTATTAAATAATACTGAACGACAAATTTTTGAAAGAGCAACTCAATGTTATGTTTGTCATAAACAATTAAATGATGATAAAGTGCTGGACCATTGTCATCTTACAGGAAAATTTCGAGGAGCTGCGCATAATAATTGCAATCTAAAAATGCGTTTACCTGATAAATTACCAATTATTTTCCATAATTTGAAAGGTTATGACGCTCATTTAATCATTAAAGGTCTCAAGACAGATTTAATTAGAAAAATTAGCGTGATTCCACAAAATACTGAGAAATACATTGCAATCATTATGGATGATTTTCTGTTTTTAGACAGCCTTGCTTTCTTACTTTCTAGTTTGGATACACTTGCGAATAATCTGTCAAATGCAGAAAAAACAAAATTTCTAAAGCAAGTATTTTCAGATGAAGACTTACCATTTATACTTACAAAAGGTGCCCTGCCTTATGAATACATGGATTCTTGGGAAAGATTTGAGGAAAGAAAATTGCCTTCGATTGATAAATTTTATTCAAATTTATCATTGAAAACTATTGATCAACAGACTTATGATAGACTTGGAGCAATATGGAACCATTTTAAATGCAAGAACCTTGGTGATTTTCATGACATTTATCTCAAAGTTGATGTTTTACTACTCACCGCGATTTTCCAAAACTTTCGTGCTACAAGTCTTGCGCAGTTGGGATTAGACCCATGCCATTATTTTTCTACTCCTGGACTTACTTGGGATGCATCTTTAAAATTTACTGGTATGGAGTTGGATCTTTTAACTGACATTGATATGATTTTAATGATTGAAAATCAAATACGAGGAGGAATATCGTGTGCAATGTCTCGACATGCTAAAGCAAACAATCAATTTTCCGAAGAATATGACCCTGAGAAACCAACATCATTTATCGCCTATCTTGATGTTAATAATCTTTACGGTTATGCCCTGAGTGACGTTTTACCATGCAGAAACTTTGAATGGGTACCAGAGAATATGTTCCAAAATGTCATTCATGAAATTTTGAATTCTAGTGAGGATCGAAAAACAGGATACATGCTTGAAGTTGACTTGGATTATCCTGCATCATTACATGATTTGCATAATGATTACCCTCTTGCTCCTGAGAAAATAATTGTTGAAAATGATCAACTAAGTAATTATCAGCAGGAAATTGTTGAATTATTGCAATCCAAAGGGATCAAGCGTTACAAAACTGCAAAACTAGTTCCAAATTTAATGAAAAAGGAAAAATATGTCCTTCACGAACGAAATTTACGTTTTTATATCGAGAAAGGACTTGTTCTTAAAAAAGTACATCGCATAATTAAATTTGAACAAGAGCCTTGGTTACGACCCTACATTCAAATGTGTACTGAAAATAGGAGAAAGGCTACTTCATCATTTGAAAAAGATTTTTGGAAACTAATGGTCAATTCATTATACGGTAAAAGTATTGAGGATAAACGCAAACATAGTGAAGTTAAAGTCGCTACAAATGCCAGACAAGCCTTACAACAAATAAGACAACCAATGTTTGAGCAATTTTACATTTTGGACAATAACTTGGCAATCATAAAATTGCGAAAATTCAAAGTAATCCTTGATAAACCGATTTACCTTGGCTTTAGTGTTTTGGAATTGTCGAAACTTCACATGTTTAAATTACATTATGATCATTTTCTACCTAAATACGGAGAAAATTTGTCATTAATTTACACAGATACTGATAGTTTCATTTACAAAATTGAAACAGAAAATTTATTCAATGATTTAAAAGAATTTCATTTTCTCATGGACTTTTCCGATTATCCGCAAGATCATTTTCTATATGATGTTACAAACAAAAAGAAACTTGGATACCTTAAAGATGAAATGGGTGGCGAAATAATTGATGAAGTTGTTGCTATAAAATCAAAGCTTTATGCAATAAAATATGGTACTAAAAAGAAGCTTACTGCAAAAGGAGTTCAAAAAGCAATTGTCAAAAGCGCAATCACAATCGAGGATTACAAGGACTGTTTGTTCAACAATGTATTATTGAATCATGACAATTTTCGATTACAGAGCAAACAACATTCAATTTCATCAGTTAAAATTAACAAGCTGTCTCTTTCGCCCCTCGATGATAAAAGATATATTTTGGATGATGGAATCTCATCTTATGCTTTTGGACATTACAAAATTGTTTATTGAATTTTATACAGCATTTTTTCATTGTATTCTGTATTACATTTTTTGAATGGAATTTTATCATTATTAAAACAGCTTTTTAAAAATTCAATACAAAAGTATCCACATTTTATTGACAAATCACCTTGATAAACAGCTTTGTTGTAATCAAATCCATAGTTTTTACAATTGCGCTCAATAAATGTTTCAATCAGTTGTGGAGGCTTTAGAGCATAAGAATCAAAATAGAATGCAGCTCCATATTCAGGTACATAAACTGCAGTCCAGTGTGAACCTTGTTTCCAAATCGGATCGAGGTTGATTACAATGCCAAATGGTTTCGATAATAATGTTACAGGTAATTGATCAATTGCATAGACTCCTTTAAAGTCGGAATACTGCACGAGAAAATTTTGAATATCAATTGTCGTGAGGGCCATCAATAATCGGTTACAATATTACGTGCTGCATCAATTTGAAGAATACTGTCATATATACCAAATAAAATCATATGCATTCCTTCGTCAAGTGCTGCACTGAATTGAATATCTATACGGACATTTCCTCTTTCAATTAGAGATAGAGTACCAGAATCAGATGCAAGAGTACCGTCATCAGTGAGGTCAAACACTAGAAAGGGATATTTATTCTCATAATCAGCATAATCCAATCTGATTTTAGGTAGTCCATGGTCTTGGTTCATAGATCTGAAAACATTATAATATTCTCGCATGAATAATTTGCCCGCGAAATCAGGTTTATATGGTGAACTAGGAATTTTTATTCCATTCACAACAACTGCAGCACTCTGTAATTTTTTGTGTGAGAAAGTGAATGCATCAGATGCAAGGTCAGCATTGAATGATTTATCTGTAACGAAACCAATAATTATTTTCCTAGGTAATTGTCCGTTGTAAACGTTATCAACGCTGTTAGCCGCAAATCCAGTGGGAAGATGGAATGATTTGACTTCATTACGTTGAAAGTAATATTTGACAGGTGTTTTTTCCAAGTTTTTTGTAATAGACATTTGAACAGGCGAATAGAGTTTGACTCTTCTAATAAACAAAGATATTTTTTGAAATTCAAAAAGTAATTTGGTGATAGGTTTATTGCAGGTCAGGCCAAAAGAAGCAGGTGCGCATTTCAATCTCAGTGAAATTGGTACATTATCAATCAAAAATTTTTCTTGTTGAAACATTGGAGCATGAATTGGTAAAACAAAGTCAAATGTTTTCTTTACTTGCTCGACTCGCTTATCTTCTGCGTTTATTATTTGACATGCATCAATGGCTGATTTATGTTTGAAAAATACATCATCAATGAAAGTTTGATAATGATACAAGCTATTGCCAGGTGTTATGTTTACATTGCCAAGGTAAACATCAAGTTGTTCAAATATTGAGGCAGCATAATTATTTGTAGGAATTATTTTTTCTGTTGAGTCTGTATCAATCTTTAATTGAACATACAAATATGAGGCAGCCAAGTCCGTGTAGTGTTCAGATCCAGGTACAACAAATTCAAAAACAGTTGATTTTGAGAGTGATCCTACTGGTCTATATTCTACGTCATACATACTCTCAATAACAGTTTGTGTAGGAGGGATTTTGAATAAATCTAATTCAGCAATAGTAGCTGGACTTGAAGATGTGTGAATAAATTCCATTATGCGAAAATGTCTTTATGCTTTTTGTTTTTAGTTCTGTTTTTACTGCACGCTCTTTTAAGAGAGCGCGTTTGCACTTTACGTGTGGGTTTTTTGGCTGCTTCAGTCAGTCTTTTTCTTTTATATAATCTTACACGACCGCTTCCTTGCTGTGATTTGACACTCTCTTTGATTTTTGCAAGCCCTTTACTTGCGAAATCTTTCACACCCTCTTTGAAAGCTTCTTGAATTTGTGGATCTTGCACGACCCTTTTACCAATACTAACACCTTTATCTAAGGCTTCTTTTCCTAAAGCTTTAATTATTGGAAGCGCTAGGCGTGCTATAAAGCTAGTAAAACCGTAACCTCTTTGATATCTAGGACCTCTGACAATTCTAATATCACCAAATCCTGATCCGATTTGATTTAGAAAATAATCGTTGAAATCACTATCTTTAGGACAATATGTTTTTCTTTGAATCATTTTATTACAAAAAATCTACATCAATTTCTTTATATTAATTTTTTCTTTCGGAAATCAAGACTGAGGAAAACTCTTCCGATGCCTGCGAATTTAATTTGGTCTCCTGTATCATCAGTTAAAATTACTGAAACGCTTTCAATGTGGTTTTTCCGAATTGGATAATAAATGCGATGCTCAAATGTACAGTAACCAATGCCTTGATAGATACCACCCGTTAGTGGAATTGCTCGCAATATTGGTGATTTTGTACCTCCAACATTATGATCTCTAATGATATCAGCATACACGTACATTAGTTTCACCTCTTTCTCAAATGATTTTAGACCTGCGAAATTTAGTGTTTGCGAGCTTAAAGAACTGGTGTAATCATGAACTTTTGGATCAAAACCCAGATATTCCAATATTTTTTCGTCTTGAAATTTCGGAACATACAGCATCCTACCAGCGCATGACCATTCGGGTGAGTCCTCCCCGCCAGCTCCAATTACACTGCATTTACCGTAATACTTGTTCTTGAAGTAGAATTTTATATCATGTGTTGCATTCGCAGCTGAAGGGGTAATTACAGGTAAGCTATCTGAGCTCCCGTTGTCCTGAATTATTTTATTTTTTATTTCCTCTGTTTGAGATGGGTCAGTCAAGATGTTCAATTTAGCATATTTAGCGGCTGCGTAATCGTAGAAACCAACCGAAAATGTTACTTTACCATTTTCAAGAAAAAATTTCGGATATGATTTCAAGACCGCCAAATCTTTTGTAGCGGCTTCCATTTCGTGATTTAGTTTATTCAAAATTTTTTCTATTGAATCACCTGGGAAAATACTCACTGTCCTTTCTGCTTTATTCTCCCATGGATGTTCTAATCTTAAGTTTTGCTTATCATAGACGACATAATGCGCGCTCATAATTGAAAATTTCAACTCAAGTTTAGTGGGAATTTCAGGCTCAACCTCTAGGGGAAAATAAATTTCAGTAAGCGCAACTTCCCATTCTCCATCTAATTCTAATGCAGGGTCAATTTGATTTTCGAATCTCGATAATGTATTACCAGGGAAAATGCTCATGGATCCATTCGATATAAGATCTATTGTGAAATTATCTGGTGTTGTCATTTTGTATTGATAAGTTATCGAGATCCCGAACCCAACTATCGAATTTGCGTGGCCATCCTTCCCATCTAACCAAGTATTTATATTGTCTTCGTGATCTATCATAAATTCTTTTAATTATTTTTTCCACTCTGTAGACGTCACTAGGGTCAAAATTAACTTTTTGCAGTTCTTCGGGATAGAATATTGATGATATATTTTCACCTTGTAAATCTTTCAACTTGTAAATGAATTTTTGAGGTGTTTCTTTGACTCCTGAAACTTTAAATACTTCATCTGTCCATTTTTGAACAGCATCCTTTTCGAAATTTCCAGAATTTAATGGAATTTTGACGAGATCATTTTCATTGAACATTTTCTTTTTATGCTCATCACTTCTAATAGATCTCTGTATAGTATCCACTATTGCTTGTTGATTATCCCGTGTTACAGAGTTCGGAGCTGTTTTAATAGTTCTGTGATACGAGTTGTTGTAGTTTTCAACAATATTTTGCAAGTCATCGATGTATCGATGTGTATGTTTATAGTAAATAAATCGATATATGCGTGCACGTAATGTTCTTATAAATCGTTCAGCTAGAGCACATTTTATTGATGCATCAGTTGTTGTGAAATAATGAACGCCCTGAGATGTACAAAAAAATTTAAATCTATTATTATTAAATTCACGTCCTTGGTCCGTTTGTAATTTTTCTGGCTTCCTTCCTGAGTTGAAAATTTGAGAAAATCCATTTATTATTGTAGATGCTGATTTATCTTTACACGGTTGCACCCATGCAAACCTACTCAGTATGTCAGTCACAACTAATAAATGATGAATACCATCGTTTTGTCTTGACCAATAGGACATGTCCATTAGATCAGCTTGCCATTGTTCATCAATTCTATCAACTAATACAGCTAGCCTTTGAAAAGTTGCTCGTCTGGTACGAAAGTTTGTATAGGTATCTTGACTCATTAACCATTTCTTAACAAATTTGTAATCGATCGAAGGATCGAATTGTTTAGCTACATTGAAAAGTCTTTTGGCACCCCCAAAACTACCGAAACTATCCAGGTCGTAGTAAAGGAATTTCAGAAACTCTTCACGTTGGTCCATTTGAGGTTCTGACATTTTTTCAGCTTTCTCTTTTTAGGCCTGGCTGATAGTTTCTTTTCATATTTCTGAAGAGCTTTTCTGAATGACTCTTTATATTCGTTCAAATTGATTGTAGACTTATGTCCTTCATGACTTTCTTGAATCGATGCAGGCTTAACATCACGTGACACCTCTTGATCTTTACAACTTTTAAGTAGATTATATTCTTTTTCAGGAATTAAAACTAATTTATTTACAACATTCATTTCGTGAATTGATCAGATAATTTTGCACTCAAGAAGGATATTGCTGGCCAAAGTAGTGCAGGTAGGAATGCTCCACCGGTCTGTATTATGATTTCTTTTCTTTTCTTTAATGGGATACTTTTCCTTGAGAGCACTCGCAGTTGATTTCTATATGGCTCAAGTTTCTTTTTATGGTGATTGTCAATTGATATATTTCCGTTTAGTATATTTTTACTTATTTCTGATATTGAATAATAGATGCAAGATTTTGCTTTTGATAAAAGTTTATTCTGTTGTTTTTTCGTTTTAGCCTGTGCAAGATCTTTTAGTGTTGGTAGACACTTGATTACACTTTCAATTGGCATTTGAATTTATTTTAAATTCATTTTTATCTTTATATAGCTTATAGAATGAATGCGTACATTGGTTCATCATTTTCATTGAAAATATTCGAGATGA